TGGGGACGCCTGGGTTTCTTAAGTTGAATCTGTATGTAAGTCAGAACTGGCGTCCAGATTCAGCCGCGGTTGAAACTGATCAGTTTCAGCAGCGGCTGATGCCAGTTCCGACTTACATACAGATTCAACTTAAGAACAAACCTACAGTCCCTATCTTGTACGTAACCCGGGGACTGCCTGTACTCTGGGAAGTAATTATTTGCACCGGAGTGTCCACACTTCCATTATTTCGAAATAACTATTTCAGAATTAGTGTTATTCCGGATGAAAAGTAGGACTACAGATTTTGAATTCCTCAGCCCATTATTTTGAAATAACAGGCTTCGTAATGTGGATGCTCTGCTTATAAATTTGACCTGGGGGATGGGGGAGGTCTTAAATAAAGTCCTAGTGTACTTAAGACTCTTAGCCCTGGTCTACAAAACTCTTGTACTTATTATACCAGTATATTTCTTTCAACGGGACAAACAAATCATGATATTTTTTTCCTTCCCCAGATGTGAGCTCTGGTAGTTCTATGGACTGGGCCTACAAAAATGGCATCCCCTATGCATTTGCATTTGAGCTGCGTGACACCGGCCATTTTGGATTTTTACTTCCTGAGACTCTCATCAAACCCACTTGTACAGAGACCATGCTAGCAGTTAAAAATATAACTATGCATTTGCTAAAGAAGTGTCATTAAGAGTTATATTTAGGATCCAGAACTTAACTAAGGTTTTACTTCAGGTGTTCATTAAATAGACACTGTCAAGTCATTGCAATTCTAAATCTGACATTTTAAAACTGTGGCTCTCAGAAAATGTGGTAATTATTCTACCTTAGAGGGTTGGAAGGTGAAATTCCTTTCAACTTCTACGATCCAGAAGTCCTACTAAGTTAATGTGTCACATCTGTAGTTTGTTCACAGCAAAATACTCTGTCCTTATTAGCAATGTAAGGTTTTGAATCTGAACCACTGAAATAGTGGAATTTTTGCCACTAACTTCAGTTGGAGAAAGATTCTGTCCACAATACAGTTGTGGAGCCAAATTCTGGCAGGTTCCCCACATTGAAGACTGCAAGGTAACCCACACACAGAACTATGGGGCACAATTAGCTACCCTATTCCTTCCATTCTCCCATACATTACAGCATCAGTAGGAACCATGGAGGAACATTCCAGAGTGCTGTCTATGGGTCAATATAGTTCATAAGTTTCTTACATGTATGTCCCTGAGCAAGGCATTGGACTGTCTACATCAGTGTTTCTCAGCCTGTGGTATAAGTCTGGGGGGTACATCAACCCAACTGAAATTTGGAGAAAGCAGAATTTTTGTTTTAAGTTTTACAGTGCTTCATTATTTTTGTACTTTTTACACCCAAACATTTCATCACCTGCTCTGCTACGATTAAGTTATTTAAACAACTTTGTTGCAATGGTAGAAAAAAATGATGTGTGTCTGAAAACTGTAGGTACTGGGGGTACTTATACTTTTTTTTTTAAAGGGGGTACTTTATAAAAAAAAAATTGAGAAACTCTGGTCTCCATATATCCTTAGTAGGAATTATCCATATGTGGTACATGGTTGTTGCTGGCCAGATTATAGACAGAAAACTGTGTGATTTCTTCACCATATAAGTCTGTACTTTGAAGATCATGTTATGTAGTGCCAGAATTTAACTTCTTGTTTTAAAATAGAGACCAACATATTACCTTGTATAAATATACATTTTAAAAGTTGTGTGTTCCCTGTAATTAAGAATTATAATTGAACATTAATAGATAACAGACATCCATACAGTGGAATATTATAATGAAATAATTTGCAGTGACTGTGGACTTGAACAAGTTTATCAGCTTTTGTATATGGATATAGCTGTGGGCAATGAAGTTACACCAATTTGCACCATCTGAGGATTTGTCACTTAATAGAAACTACAATTTATAGGCTATAACTTAAGTACTTCCAGAGAGTGACCTGTGGTTACATGGCTACTCAAGGTTGGTTTTTTTAAATGTTTTAAAGGCATGGATAATAGATGTTTAACTGAGTGGGACATAAAATGTGGACGCTTTGAAGCTGACAAGTTTCCATTGAAGAAGCATGATTTTGGAAATAACAATGCTGAAAGCACAGTGTTGTGACTGTGAGATTGGTATTTTCAGAATAGTATTTTTGTTGCTAGATCTTCAAAATTTTAGGTTTCAGTATTTTTGTTTTGAGTTGAATTTTCTGCCATAAAGTTTTAAATAAATCACACTTCTTAATAAAATCTTCAGACGAATTCCTTCCATATTGCTTCCTTGCCCCTCTTTGTAATGTCATCTCTTGATCACAGAAAATATAGTTATTGAAGTCCTTGGATCAGAGAAAGGCACTTATGTGTCTACAGCATCATGAATATCTATGTTATATATAAAAATATCTACAGAACTCAAAGTCAAAAGTACTGGAAGCTGCATTCTGAAACCCTTAATCACATGGAATATAGCCATCTTCAGTGACTAGTTTTATTGTTTTCAGCTGGGCTACTTGTACAGTAAAGATGGCAAAATCTGGTCATGGATAAAATATCATTAATGATTTTTCAGATGTGTAGCTTTGCAAAATATATGTTGTATTGTTTTTATATAGCTTTGGCATGTGTATATATATATAATATAATGCACATACATACACACATACATATACACACACACACACACACACACAGAGTGGAAAAGCTCTGGCTGTGCTTTCTTGTGGGCCTCACCCTACTAGTAGATAGTATTAGCCTCAGAGGCTTACTGTGTCCCTCCCCACAGCCTCTTTCTCTTTACAAGAGGCAGGGACCCCATCTTACTGAGCCATACTCATCACAGGCTAGTTTATGGTTTCAGGGTGAAAACCTCTCTTTAGTCCAGGTCTCCCTTCTTGGGGCAGTTTCTGTGTTGGTGAGGAGGAGGTTTGGGAGGCTCCTAGGCCCACCTGCCCACTACTCTAGGTTCTAGCCTAGAGACTGTAAGGCAGCAACAACAGACTAGAAGCAAAATAGCTTTTTCCCTGCGTCACTTCCCCAAACAATCCCTCCAAGTACCTTTCCTCTGGTACCTGCTAGCTAGTCCTCAGTGTGTGCAGACACAGCTTGTTCTGTACCACACTTACTCCTTCTGGTCCATGATTCTTTGCCTACCCTTCCCCCCTTTAACTGGAGGGAGCCTTTTAAAGCAGCCCCCCAGGTTTTAATTGGCTGCAGGTGTTGAATTAGTTTGCTCCTACAGGAAGTCATTAATTAGCCTCAGGTGTCCACCTGCCTTCATTTCGTGACAGCAGTGTCTAGGAGCTTGTTTGGGGAAGAGAAAGCAGTTTACCCTGCGTACCTGCCCTCCATTATAGCACAGCTAGGATTGCCAGATGGTTGAAACAAAAATACCAACCCCCCCCCCCCCAAAAAAAAAAACCCAGGGAAAAAGGGGGGGGGGAGGCCAAAGTTGTTGAGCAAAAAAAAAACTCCAAGGACTTATTAAGCCAAATTTTTTTTTAAAAAAACACACCATTAAAACAGCATATCCCCTTTAAGTGCAGGGATAGGAACAGGGGAGTAGTTGAGCACTAAGACCCAGGAGAAAGCATTGCTTCTCCTAGGTCTTTTGTCCAGCAGCCATTTTGTGCCGGCGGCCTTATGAACCAGGTAAACATGCGGGTTGGGGGTGTTAGAGGCCAGGTGGGGGGAGATGGTTGGGCATTGAATGTTTGTAGGGTTGCCAGGTGCCTGGCATTTTCCCCTCCTGGTCAGGGAAAAATTCAGAGAATACAGGACATCTCAGGTGTCCGGTATTCTCTGAATTTTTTTACCGGGCAGCAGCCGAAAATACTGGACTGTCCAGGTGAATACCGGACACCTGCCATCCCTAAGCGCAGCAGCCTGCTGGTTTGCATCTGTCACAAAATATATATATATTTAAATTGCGTACACAAACACACACACACACACACACACACATTGCTTTTATGACTGGAAGCTATTTTGCTTGTTGATTTGCAGTTTTGTTTTGTTCTTTCTTTCATGTTTGCATCAAACTGCTTAAGATTCTGATTTAGACATTTTAGATTTAGCTTTTTACTATAGTTATAATATGACACAGCAATGCATCTGATGAAGTGGGTCTTTGCCACAAAAGCTTATACCAAAATAAATCTGTTAGGGTATGTCTACACTATCCCCCTAGTTCAAACTAGGGGGGTAATGTAGTCATTCGGAGTTGCAAATGAAGCCCGGGATTTGAATTTCCCGGGCTTCATTTGCATGATCCCGGCCTTCATTTGCATGATGCCAGCCGGCGCCATTTTTAAATACCGGCTAGTTCAGACCCCGTGCTGCAGGGGAATTAGGCTTCCTATTCCAAACTAGCTGTACGCCTCGTGGGTTCCGAACTAGCTGGCATTTAAAAATGGCGCCGGCCGGCATCATGCAAATGAAGCCTGGGAAATTCAAATCCCGGGCTTCATTTGCAACTCCGAATGACTACATTACCCCCCCTAGTTTGAACTAGGGGGGTAGTGTAGACATACCCATAGTCTTTAAGGTGCCACGGGACTCATTGTTTTTCCAAATACAGACTAATATGGCTATCCCTCTGATAGTATGACACAGTCTCTTTGCTTAGTCTTAATTTTGCCTTTTTGTAGTAAATTGGGTTATGTTTGGGTTTTTTCCATTAGAAGAACCATCCCTTTCAAGCTCTTAAATTACATGAAATGCATTTTTTAATATTAAATACACTTTCATTATTATTATTATTAGCAGATGCTTCCTAAAAAGCGGTTACATATCAGACTTTTTTAAAAAAATCAGCACAGAAGTGTGATCTCATCAAAGTCCAAAGGACAGAAGCAATAAGGAGCTAACTTTCATTCATAACCTCACCTCTGACCATCATCATAAACTGTTTTGAAGAATGCATCAAGTTAGTCATAATACTGATTAGCTGTGGAAAGTTACTCAATTCACTATCATTGGTGGAGAGTTATATGGGCCTGTGATGCTTGGGAACCAGGAATATTCCTGGCATGGGCCCTGGCTCCACCAACATCCGAGGCTGTTTATCTTCCCCAGCCCTGCTTCTGCTCTTGCCACTCCCCCTGCACATCTTCCAACCCCACTTGCCACTCCCTGATGATTTAAAATGGCCTGGGAGCCCCTGCCATCAGTAGTGCAACAAGGTTAGTGCAGCTCCCTGCCTGCCTGCTCTGCGCAGTGGCTAGCCTATCCCTTCAGCCCCGGGGGGGAGGGCAGGTATCTCAGTCAGTATTCTCTGTAAGCTATGTCCTTGTGCCACCACTCAGAAGCGATTCAAATGCTGCCCAGCTGATTAGCAGAGTGCCCACAGCTGGGTTCTTTGTTTTTACTGGTGGTACAGATTCACATATGCCTCTGGGCACATAAAAAAATGTATACCACATATTGATGGGAAAAAATTCCCACATGGTTAGATAGCCATCTCGAGCTCCTCCCTCCATGCTTCCTTCCCTGTGCCTTTTCTGAGCTAATTAGCCTTTTGGGCCTTCAGCCCACCCCACTCTATCAGTTAGGCATAGCTTTGACCCTCAGGTTTACTCATGGGAAATTTAAATAGTTGTCAAATGAGCAGAATGCTCTGACACACAATCTCATGGGCTCTGGCAGTCATGGTAGATCACTCAGGGAAGTAAGGGAAGGTCCTTACACCCCCAAATCCCCTACACAGACACAGAGCAGGGTTCACAATTAAGCCCTTAATAAATATTCTTTTTAAGTCGGCATCTAAAAAGCTAATTGGTCAAATGTGGATTTTTAGAGATGTGCATGATTTTCATTAGAGCTTTGTCATGGTGAGCAGATTTCAGATGAAATAATCTTTATAGCAGGGTTAGCTCAGAAAACGTAATAGGTACATAAAATGTCTAAATGAACGATGTGCAATGAAATGATTCTATATGAGTTATGCTATCATGGTTCCCCATGAAACATCTGTCTTAACACTACAGCAGCTGGCCTGAAGAGCAGTGAAAGATTAATTGAATTCTCTCGAAGAAGTATTATTTCTTCTCTAAATAAATTTAACTAAAATTGGAAATCCAGCTGACCTCTTTGGAAAAAAAAATCATTGCAAATAATTTAACATTTGTGCAAGATGCTTTGGCATTTAAAAATATTTGATGTCAAGAACAGTCCATTTTATGCTACTGTGGCTACATCCTGGAAGGTGTATGTGAATGGCCTGAATAGACAGTCAGTCCCTGTGAGTTTTAAGGGTCAAGATGCGGAGTTGTACTTCTGCCCTTTCATGCCTGCATGGATTCAGAAAAACTAAAATGCATATACAGTAAACTTCCGATAATCCAGCACCTTTAGGAC